TATCTTTTCTTGTTCATTTATTAGGGAAAATTATGAATCAAAGCATACATGGTCGTATAAACCATCATCTGCATGTATGCTTGTAATGCTTAGCTTAAGTGTTAAATGAAACAAATGTTCTTCTGGAAATTGGAACTCTTCCAGTAACAAACCCAATATGGGTTGTGAAAACTCGCTTATGCCTTCAATACACTTATGCACAAGCTGAAACTACTCAGGCATCTCAGTATAAGGGAATTCGAATGCTTGGTGAATACATGTAGTTACAGTGTATGTGGAAATCATGAATTATATTGAAAATAATGGACAGGAATTACTGTTACTAATGTTTAAAAAGTGCCAGTTTTACACTGTCAAGTTTGTACGGACAAGTCNCATGAATTATATTGAAAATAATGGACAGGAATTACTGTTACTAATGTTTAAAAAGTGCCAGTTTTACACTTTCAAGTTTGTACAGACAAGTCTACTATAAACAGTTAACAGTTTTTGATATACATCCCAACTCAAATACGTTTTCCGATTGGAGGAGGACGTGTCACGTGTCGTGGGTCAAAACTCACTACCTCCCTAGGGCGAACAAACTCACTAACTCCCTAGGGACACAACAACTTGAATTTCGACTCCCACGTGATCAGGTCGTGTTCTTTGAAACCGCAGCAAATTTGTGAGGCAGCCAGCATCAAGCAAACAATTTCTTCGCAGTTTTTATTTTATTTTTGAGTTGGGAGGTATAACAAAACACTTAATGACTGGCCCCGCGGGAAACAGTGACTTTTGCTTCCCCTCCACCTCAATGACATTGAGGGTCTCGGATTCAATGGCAAAAAATTAAGGATACCCTCATTGTACAACACTGCACAGAGTGTGTGGAAGAGAAACTAATGATGTTTAGTTCAATTGTAAAATTCTCTTTCCTCAGGTGATCAATATGTCACCTGCATAAGCTCTGAGTCTTAAGAGTGAGGGAAGTATCATAATGGTTTTAAACATTCATAACCTAACAGTGTGTG